TGTCGCCTCAGGCTTGGTCGTGCCGCCCGCCGCCTGCGCCCCAGCATTTTGCTGGGAAACCACGCCGGCTCCCGTCCTGGGGGACGTGCGGCCACCAGCTGTTGGCCCCATACTGACCGTTTTGCACCCTTTCCCCACTGGGATGGTTCGAGTCACCGCGCTGCGCCCCGCCGCCGCCGATCCCCTGGTGCAGCAGCCGCCGCGGACCCGCCAGCGGGGCCGGCCGCGCCACGCGCTCCGGGCGTGACCCGTCCCCCTGAGCGGCCTCGCTCCGCTCGCTCCCTCTTCTTTCGGCCGTTTCTTCTGTTCTGTCCCCTTCTCCTTGCATTGTGCCGCAGTTCGCTACAATGGTACCCTCGTTTAGTTCGTTTTCCGCCAGCGCAGTTACTCTGCCTAGCCGCCGACGCAAACAGAATGTGTGAGTTTGTCGAATTGGATGCGTGCGTTTATTTCGGTAGAAGGGATGAGAACACTGTTCTGGCGATGGACCAAACGCCACTATGCAGCTGTTTGTAGCTAAAAGCGCGACCCTCTCTTCATATACTGCACGCCGCAGGGCGGCTAGGAGGCTGCTGCGGAGCTGGCGAACAGAGGCGCGCTACTCTCCCTTTGGGGTGCGATCCGCGTGAAGAGGGTGGTCCCCGCGCGGGCGCGCTCAGTAAGGCCGCTCGTGGAGCTTCCCGTGGAGCGCGATCCGCGTGAGACGTGCGCTGAAATAGGCGTGGAGAAACCATCCGAAGCTGTCCATTGGTGCCACGTCAGGGGTGTGCCGAAACATGGGGTCAGAAGCCATGCGAACCCTTGTTTTGGGGCCGTAGGTGGAGGTCTGAGGCGCGATCCGCGTGTGGGGTGTGCCGACATGGGCGTGGGGACGCTTGCGAGCCTTCTTTTGTGGGGTCGTACGTGGGACCCTTTGTGGAACACGATCCGTGTCAGGGGGGTGTCGGCATGGGCGGGGCGGTTGGATGCGAAACGCGCGGGGGGACGCCATGCGAATCCCCCCAATGGGGCCGCACGTGGAACTAATTCTTTTGTGGGGCACGATCGGTGTGAAGGGTGTGCAGACATGAGCGACGGAACGCCGTGCGAACTCATCCCTGGCACCGTAAATGGAGCTCCTGGGGGGGCACGGTCCGTGTGAAGGGCGTGCAGGAATTCGCGGAGAGACCCTTCGGGAAGTGGTGGGATGCATTTCACTTGAGACATCATCGAAACAATGCTTTCCGATATGCCGCTCGCGATATGGCCTGGTTTGTTTCGCTTGAACCCCCCTTGCACCACCACGCTCCGAAATCCCGCCCGCGAGGTGGTCTTGCCCGTCTCTCCTGAAACATCCTCATCTCCCTATGCCCCCAAGGTGGTCTGAACAGTTTGACGTGGGAGATCTTCGCACCTCTGGGATCCACGGTGCCCCGCGCAGAATGGTTTGGCCTTTTTTTTCCTTGATACACCCTCGCACCTCTTCTGCGACGCCAACCTTGTCAGCCGAAGACGACGAAGATTACGACCATGTTACCGAATTGTGTCCCCAGAACACCCTCGCTCCACCAAGTTGGCGGGAGTTTGTTCGTTCCCTCCTCTCCTGGCATGTTCGGCGCTTCTTGCAACCCAGCCCGATTGCAGCTTACCGACAATTGAAAAACGCGTTTCGGTTGCGATTTCGCAGAGTTCCCCGCTGAAATTCCCCAGTGCATTGATGCGGGGACCGAGGTGTTCGAGCTTCAGAGTCCAGGCCCGAGCAGCGTTGGACGATCCGCGTCGGGGCTCAACGGGCGGGGGTCAATGCAAACGAGGGTCAGTCAGAGCGCCGGGTCTGGCAGGATCCCGCAGGGCCATGGGTGCGCTGACCCGGGTCCGAGTGCGGGATCCTGCAGGATCCTGCAGGATTTTGCAGGATTCTGCAGAGCCTGACTGACCTGGGTCTGGATAGACTTGGGCCAGTAGAGCCCCGATCGCGCCAGGATCGCGGCAGACGCGGGGGCGGGCTGGGGCAAACCCGGCGCGCCGTCTCAGGCCGCGTCGGAGGCGTCGAAACGGCGTCGTGGCTGGGTAAGGATCGCATCGCAGCGGTGCAACGGCTTCGGGATGTCCAAAGCGCGAAGCTCCGAACAGGTCCTCTCTTTCTCGCCGCCGATCCCGCGGAGCGACAAGGCGTTGTCGTCGTTGTCGTCGTCGTCGTTGCCCACAAGACAGGTCTCCAGGGCGACTGGAACGTCCAAATCTATTGGTTTGCGGCCGTGAGGGGCCCATCGTTTCCCGTCTGCCCCCCTCGCTTGGAAGCAGTTCTGAAGACTCTGTGGGGCCCGTTTGAGAGCCCCTAGGGTGCTTTTGGGCCTGGCGGGGGCCTCTTGGGGTCTTCTTGGGCGGTGTAGGGCGCCACTTGGACCGTCATGTGGCCGTCTTGGGCCTTTCGGGCGCCTCTTGGGCCGCCTGGGGGCTATCCCGGGCTGTTTTGTGCCCTTCTTGGGCCGTATTTTGGATTCTCTTGGACAGTCTTCGGCGCCTCGTGGACCACTCTGTGCTCGTCTGGAGACATCTTGGGCCCCTCTTGGGGCGATCTTGGAGGCCCCTGGGGGCCCTCTTGGACGCTTCGAAGAGCGGAAACGACGAATTTGCTGAAAACGCTAATTTTCTGCAGGGAATGCGGTGGTTTTTGCTTGATGGAGCCGTTTGGGAGTCCCCCTGGAGCTTTCTGGAGGCGGTTTGGCGGTTTCTCGGGCGCCGACGATGATTTTTGGAGGAGCCGTGTGTGGCCGTTTGGGGGGCTTCGTGGGCGCTGAATCTTTGGGGCTTCTGGGGCCGCTGTAGTGCCGCGTGGATGATTTTTTGAACCATCTTTGGCCGTTTGTGGGCCCTCTTGGGGCCGCTGTGGGGCCGCTTTGGTACGTACGGGGCCGCCCCTCCCACCCACCAGACACCGATCTCTATATATACACATATCTATACATACAACATAGCTACATACACACATGTACCTTTTAATCAACTAGCACACATACATACATACATACACACAGACATACATACATACATACTTCCACACATACATGCACACATACATACATACATACATTCACATGCACACATGCGTACATACACATACACACACATATATATACACACATACATACATCCATACATACACACATATGCACAACCATCCATACATACATGTATATACATATGCATATCGTAGGAATCATCGCACGGATGGAGGAATAAGTGTAGGTACCTATGTGTGTGTATGTGTGTATGTACATATGTGGCCCGCCTAGCTCTTAACTGGAAGAGGCTTGCTCTCGACGCGCAGACCAAAACAACGTGTGTATATAGGCATGTGTAGGTATCTATGCGGAATCGGTATTACGTATGTATGTATGTATGTCTGTATATACGCGTGTATGTGGGACTGTATGTATTTATGCATGCATGTATGTATGTATGCATGCATGCGTACATGCATGCATGTGTTTGTCTTTATGTGTGTACGACTACATAAATGCATGTATGCATGTCTGTATATATGTATGTTTCTCTATATATTGTATTGTATTGTGTTGTATTGTATTGTATTGAATGGTGTTGTATTGTCTTGCATGTATGTATGTATGTATGTATGTATGTATGTATGTATGTATGTATGTATGTATGTATATATGTATGTATGTATGTATGTATGTATGTATGTATGTATGTATGTATGTAGGTGTGTTTACGCATGTGTGCATACATGCATGCGTGTATGTATGGATGCATGTATGTATGTATGCATACATGCATGTACGTATGTATGTATGTTTGCTCGTGCATGCAATTGTAAAACGGCACACGCAGGTGTATGTTTACATGCACGTATGTTTATATGTTTGTTTGTATGGGTTTATGTATGCATGCATGCATGCATGCATGTATGCATGTATGTCTCTCTCTATATGTATGTATGTATGTATGTATGTATGTATGTATGTATGTATGTATGTATGTATGTATGTATATATATATACACATGAGATCCTGGGCCTAGGGGCCCCGCGCAGCAGCCTCCATTATGCATGCGTGGTTCCCCCTATCCGCGCTCCCGGAGGCCCCCCCAAGCCCCAGGTACACCCTAAGTACACCCCACAAGGGACTCCAAGATATTTCAGGTGCCCCCGACGATGTCCGACAGGCTTCAAGGTGTGCCTTTGGAGGGTGTGCCAGGCTCTGGGTCAGGTTCAACCACGGACCTCCGGTTTCACGACGAGCGTTCGTCGGTTCGAGCTAGTGTGAACAAGCGAACACGTGTCGTGCTGCCATGGTGCTAAGAGTAGTGTATCATCAATCCAATCGGGATCCGTCCTGTTTTGGCCATGTGGTGTCAATGCCAGCAATGATTGGGGAGTTTTTTTCGCCGCTTGTGGCGGGGGTCATGCTCAAACACTTCAGGGACGGTTTCACTCATGTTGTGAAAACGCAATGGCAGCTAGGGTTTGCATCGCTTCGCGCGCGTGCGTGTACGTTACAGTCACGCCTACTCCAGACCACGCTACGGTCCTAAAGTACGTCATCGCCGCGGATGTCGGTGGCGAGCGCCCTGCAGGTTACAACGTCAATGCTTAGACCGATGTCAGGGTGGTGCTTCTGTTAGCGGGATGTCTTACGGTCGGGTGGATAATCCACCGACTTGCTCTGGCCCTCTGCTTGCGCGAGGTTGTTTCGTGTAGACGTGAAGTTGCGAGCTCCATTGCAGCACGTGCAGCGGCTCTGTTTCCGTGCCTTCGACAGACTAACAATGCGTCTACCGACTCCGGCACCTCCTCTGGCGGAGTGCAGCGGCCTCATCGATGGAGGAACGCCGATTCTGGTCCGACGCACCTTGAGGTTCCGGAGCGACCTGTAGGCCCTCGAGGCCTCGAGCTTCGACCTGTAGGCTCTCGTGGCCTCGAGCCTCGATTCTCGACCCTGGGCCTTCGACGTCGACGGCGACGACGGCGGCGGCGACGACGGCGGCCGCCCGGGAGGACGAGGCTGAGCCTGCCTCGAAGCGGCCGAGGGGCCCCGCGGCCGCGCCGAGGCTGCCGAAGGGCACCCCCACCGTGGCGCCGATGTGCGCCGGGCCCGGGCGCCTCCCGCCGGCCGGGGGGCGCTGGAGCCCGTGCAGTGTCGTCAGAGGCAACCACAACCCCCCGACGATTTTGTTTTTTTGCCATCGCGGCGTTGCATGGCCCTGGGAACGTCAAACACGGAGTTGGGGCGACAGAACCACACCCAGGGAAGGGGTCGGGACTTCTAGTGCCGCGCGCTGGAAGAAATCATATCCGATACGCCCAGGGAGGTTTCGGACGTTTTCAAACATTTTCTGACGTTTTCCGGGCCCTGGGTGGTTTCCATCAGCTGCGCCTCGTCAAGAGCACTGCGGGGGTTCAGAGTCGTCCCCAAGGGTCGCCAGAGGCCCGAGTTGTGGCCCGAAGACGATAGACTCAAGAGGGGAGCGCATCGACTCGACCCCCGATCGGCCTTTCATCGCCGATATTTAGGGGCCCATGAGCGTGTGGCTTCGCTTTCGGGCGATGTATCGCCGATTCCAAATCGATGTTCCCCCACCCCTGAGCCACTCTTGTGGAGGACGATCAATGGGTAGGAAGCATGTTGCCAAATAGTTTCCAGATGTCTAAAACGTGTGTTAAACATGCTTTAAACATGTAAACACATGTTGAAAACATGTTTAGAACATTTTCCGACATTTTAAACACATGTTTAATTCAATGATAGGACTGTTAGGGTGTCCATTATCGTGGCATCCACAAAGCCAGTGCTTTTCGTTCCACCTCAAGGGCGATGGGTCCCAGGCAACGTCGGGGCGCCAGCAGCGGTCTCGGAACTTCTCGGAGATCTTCGGAAGTCTTCGGGGCCCGCGGCGCGCTGCACGTTGTAGAGCGTTCTGGTGGTGCCAGAGGCGTCCCGAGGGTCCGCCTGAGGCCCGTGCCATGGTCCGAAGACCAGCAGTGGTTAGCGCTAACGTTAAGTCGGGCCTGTCCCTCGACAGGGGGAATATTCAAACATACTCCAAATTTTGACAAGTTTTGAATATTTTTGGTGTGTTTTTGGAGTATTTCTAAGTTTTCGCCCAAAATCCGCCTGTAGGGGGACAGGCCCGACCTAACGCTAACGGGGGCCAGCCGGTCCCCCTCCGAGATCCTCTGGCGGACCCCTCGCATAGGAGCCCCGCGGAGCCGAAGCCTCCTCCCCTGCCTCCGCCGACCCGGGTTTGGGGGTGGGGCTCGCGACATGGCCTTGGCTCGGCCAAGTCAGCGTGTCCCCGACGAGTCGGCACATCGACGCATCAACGCATCAAATATCAGCCCGTCCTGCCAGCAGATGCCCCGCTGTGTGCAAGATTCCTTACCAGGGGACTCCTCAGGGTGCCAGCGATCATGACCTGGAGCGGCCAGGGCCAATCCAGGCGTGCGCTCGCTTCCAGAAGCTGTAGAGGACCTACCTGGAGCTCTCGAGGGGCGGCACGGAGATCGGCGGGCCCTACGTTGCCCGACACATGCCCCGTGCGAGTCTGAAGGTCCGAGAGGGTGGCTTGGAACTCCTCGACATCGAGCCTAGGCCAAGCCTGGGCCTCCGCGATCTCCCAGCATCGACTCAGCAGCCGCTCGAGGCTGGCTGCGGTGGCAGCGCTTGTCCAGTCGACCGCTTACCTCAGGGCAGGTGCGTGGACGTGGTCATAGGGATTGGCGGTGATGGGGATTTATGGGGATGTTGATAATGATATGGATGTTGCTGACGACGACGATGCTGATGTTGACGATGAGGATGATGACGAGATAATGGTGACGATACTGATGCTACTGATGATGATGGTTGCGCGACTGACGATGATTAGGTTGATGGTGATGACCATGGTGATACTGATGCTGCTGATGATGATGATGATGCTGATGACGATGCTGATGATGCTGATGATGACGAGTATTACGCTTCTGGTATCTCTGCTGTTGACGTTTGTGGTGGCAGTTGTGATGACGATGGTGAGAAGACGGTGGTTACGAAATGACCGCAGTGATGCTGTTGTTGATTATGACGTTACTGATGATGAAGATTATGAGGAGGATGATGCCGATGATGAGGTCGCCGCCGACTACGATGACGACGACGATGGATATGGCGACGGCGATGATGCAGATCATGATGCAGATAAGATGCATATGCCGATGCTCACGATGATGGGGATGATGATGCTGATGATGACGACGATGCCGATGGTGATGCAGATGATGCTGCGGATGATGATAATGATGGTGACGACGATGATGATACTGATGATGATGATGCTGCTGATGATGATGATGAGGACGATGGTTGCGCGACTGACGATGACGATGACGATGATGGTGATGATGGTGATACTTATGATGCTGATGATGATGCTGGTGTTGTTGTGGTTGTTGTTGTTGTCGTTGTTGATGTTGGTGATGACGATGCTGATGATGATGATGATGATGATGATGATGATGATGATGATGATGATGATGATGATGATGATGATGATGATGATGTTGATGACGATGACGATGCTATTCTTCTTCATGGTGATGGCAACGAGTCTGATTATGCTGATGGTGACGGCGACGATAACGATACTGATTACAGAAATGACTGCGACGATGAGGATGATGGTGCTGCTGCTGCTGCTGCTGATGGTGATTGCATTGTTGTTGAATTCTCTATTGAGGAGAGCAATTTTGGCTGAACCCCCTTCGGTGACCCTTGTTTCTCCCAGCCATCCTTTGGTGTTGGGTCCTCGTTTTGGAGAGAGCGACGCGTTCCACTCCTCCCGCTGCCCCCTTCTCCCCTGCCTCTGCCCTCCGCATGTCCATGGGAGCTCCACCGAAGGCCCCAGTGGCGACGTTCGTATGCGTCAGCCCCGCCCAGTATAGCGTTTCGTGGCCCCATAGAGAGCTCCACCAAAGGCCGCAGTGGCGACGTTCGCATGCGCCCGCCCCACCCAATGCAGCGTTTCGTGGCCCCATAGGGAGATCTACCGAAAGCCCCAGTGGCGATGTTCGCATGCGCCAGCCAGTCCCAGTACAACGTTTCGTGGCCCCATAGGGAGCTCCACCAAAGGCACCAGTGGCGACGTTCGCATGCGTCCGCCCCATACAGCACAGCGTGTCATGGCCCAATAGGGAGTTCAACCGAAGGCCCCAGTGGCGACGTTCGTATGCGTCAGCCCCGCCCAGTATAGCGTTTCATGGCCCCATAGAGAGCTCCACCAAAGGCCGCAGTGGCGACGTTCGCATGCGCCCGCCCCACCCAATGCAGCGCTTCGTGGCCCCATAGGGAGATCTACCGAAAGCCCCAGTGGCGACGTTCGCATGCGTCAGCCGGTCCCAGCACAACGTTTCGTGGCCCCATAGGGAGCTCCACCAAAGGCACCAGTGGCGACGTTCGCATGCGTCCGCCCCATACAGCACAGCGTGTCATGGCCCAATAGGGAGTTCAAGCGAAGGCCCACGTGGCGACGTTCGCATGCGTCCGCCCCACCCGCTACAGCCTTTTGTAGTCCCATATGGAGTTCCATCGAAGGCCCCAGTGGCTCCAGTCGCATGCGCCCACCCACCACCGTGCAACGTTTTGTGGCCCCAGAGGGGGCTTCACCGAAGGCCCCCGTGGCGATGTTCGCATGCGTCAGCCCCACACAGTGCAGCGTTTCGTAGCCCCATAGGGAGGTCCACCGAAGGCCCCAGTAGCGACGTTCGCATGCGTCCGCCCGTCCCAGCACAACGTTTCGTGGCCCCATAGGGAGCTCCACCGAAGGTCACATTGGCGACGTTCGCATGCGCTATTCCTACCCAGTACAGCGTTTCGTGGCCCCATGGGGAGCTCCACCGCACCAGTGGAGCCGTTCGCATGATTCAGCTCCACCCAGTGCAGGGTGTCGTGGCCCCACAGGGAGCTCCACCGACGGCCCCAGTGGCGACTCTCGCATGCGTCCGCCACAACCAGTGCGGCGTTTCGTTGCCCGATGCAGAATATGTCGATGATGATGAGGAGGATGCTACTGACGGTGACGACGACACCGACGACGATGACAATGGCGATGGCGACGCCGATGCTGCAGATCATGGTGCAGATCATATTGATGCATATGCCGATGCTTACGATGATGCTGATGATGAAGCTGATGCTGATTATGATGATGATGATGCTGGTGCTGATGATAACGATGACGCTGATGATGCTGCTGCTGATGATGATGCTGACGGTGATGATGGTGGTGATGGTCGTGGTGGTGGTGGTGATGATGATGATTATGGCGGTGGTGGTGGTGATGGTAATGATGGTGATAATGCTGATGATGACGATGATGATGATGATGATGATGTTGCTGCTGATGATGCTGATGATGATGACGATGTTTGATGATGATGATGATGATGATGATGATGATGATGATGATGATGATGATGTTTGTCGTTGTGGTGGTGGTGTTTATGGTGATGCTGCTGTTGCTGCTGATGGGGAGGACGGTTGCGAAGATAATGTTGTTGATGCGGACGGCGATAGCGATACCTCTTACAACAATGACGACGCTATGGCTGATGATGATGCTGATGATGCTGATGCTGCTGCTGCTGCTGATGATGATGATGATGATGATGATGATGATGATGATGGCGGTGGTGATGATGCTGCTGCTGATGATGATGCTGATCTTGATGATGCTGCGAATGGTGATTTGTTAATTTAAAAGTTTTCAAGTCTGAAGAATAGTTATTGTTGACCCCCTCCTCCGGTGACCATTGTATTTCTAAACCATCCTGCGGTGTTGGGTCTTCATTTTGAAGAGACAGCGCCGCGCTCCACTTCTCCCGCTGCCCTCTCCTCCCATCCCTGCCTCTGCCCTCCGCATGTACATTTCGTCACACCCCTTACAAGTTTCGAGGCCCAATGGGTGGCCTCATAGGGAGCTCCACCGAAGGCCCCAGTGGCGACGTTCGCATGCGTCCGCCCCACATAGTACAGCGTGTCATGGCCCACCTAGGGAGCGCAACCGAAGGCCCCAGTGGCGATGGTCGCATGCGTCCATCCCAGCCAGT